TTATGCAAATCTCTAAGACAATTTTGACTAAAAAGCGGGCTTTAACAAATAAAGCAATCAAACTCATAAGCAACACATGGCCAAGTTACAAAATTTGGAACATACAATACCCCAACAGATAAGGGTTCTTAAAATATCAAATTTCAAAAAGTGAACAAATTGCTTAAAAATAGAGATGTTCTATGGGGGCCCTCAATGTATGTTCTTAAATAGGAAGGTACAAATTCTAATATGAAGTTGTACTTGGCAAGAAGTAACATCTTTGTGGGACGTGCATAATGCGATTATATCTCACAAAATATAATGTGGTCTTACTCACAGATATATGGATCCAACAATTGCCCAATGTCTATTTCGTAATTTTACTACAAAACTAACAAGTTACAAGGACTCCGAAGCAAGCTTGTTGCTTCATATTTTCAAAGTGAGAGAAATAAGCATTATTCTATGAGAGATTTTTCAGTGTGTATGGAACACGGGCACATATATACACCACTATACAAGTCGAGAGATACTTGGAAAAATGAAACTTTTCTCCACTTATATAATAATGTATGACATGCTGCCTCGTGTTTTAGACATATTGATCAAACCTCTCTTATCCTAGAAACTTTTTGCACTTGATCTGCAGTTGAATGCGTGCAAATTAATAATATTGCTTGTTGTGGCGAAACCTTATTTACACTTTGTCGACATAGGGCACAAATACAAGTGAAGAGTGTGAACGAGACTCCATTTTCAAAAAATATTTTAGGGTTGGTACGTAGCAGCAGATGTCACAGTAATTATATATTGGGGCTATTTCAACAAACTGGGATCCCTATCCATTTTGCAATCGAAATTAATAGAGTTGAGAGCAAGTCCACCCCTAAGGACTTTGTGCCAGCACTTAGCGCATTTATCCACTCAAGTGAACAGTAATATACTCCATTGAACAGTAATAGGCCAAAACATCTCCACCCCTAACAAAAAATAGCCTAGTCCATTTTATTAAAATATTATTTTTTAATTATAAAATAATAATTTTATTTTTAATTTCTGAATTTATAAAAAATAAAATAATAATAATAATAATAATATCTAAAATTTATTAAAAAGTTTCTGTATTTTTTAAAAGTGAATTCTTAATTTATTGGGGGAAAAACGTGGACCGTTGATCTGTGATTGGACGGTCCAGTTTAAAAGTGAAATTCAATTTTTTTTTACCGTTGAAAATCCAATGGTCTAGAATAACTAGCCGTTGGAAATCCAACGGCTGAAAGTGGGCCAAGTCGCCGAGCCCGGGTTGTGGTCTGAGTGCGCCTGCGTGCGGGCCCCGCCGCCTGATTTCTTGTCTCCTACTCGCGCCCACGCGAGCGTGAAGGCCACGCGCCAATGCAAAAAAACAAACAGGCCAGTCCCTTGGTCAGTCAAAAATGGGCTGGCCTAGAGACTGGCATGGGCTGGGTGCCAGTCAATTGGGTCGGCTGGAGCAAATTCACTGGGTCCTGGCCTATTTTTTCGGCTGGGTGCTGGGCAAAAAGTCCTCCAGTGGACTTGCTCTGAGTGGATTAAAATGTAGACCTACCTACGACGTGGACTGTTCCTTCAACCTCAAGGCTGGACATATGATGGACCTGGGAAAAGAATGGCATCAAATGTTTGCAATCACTTGAGTCGCTTAAACGAAGATTTAAGCTTAATTACCATCCATATGATAAGGTATAAAACGTTAGCTTGAAAAATGTGGCTAAACCTGTTCGAACAAAAAACTGTTAAGGAACTAGGACGCATCTGTTTCTTAGTCACATGCATGATGAGAGCTAGACATAAAGTATCCACAAAACTGTTCTTTGTAAGTTTTTATTGTGGTTAAATGTAATGACCATTAGTTCGAAACAGTTGGTCTTATGTAAATATGTAAGCACTAGCGGAGGGAGCATGGGTCAATGACTGCACTTGACCATTAGTTCGAAACAATTGGTTTCTTATTCCAGTTCCGCAGCTTGTGCTGAGATAACCTGGTCGTCGCCTGTCGCCGATTCAAGCTTTGCACTGTCAAAGAAGGTGCGATCGAACTAGAAACGAAAATCTGGTGTTGATGCAGTGAGAGACTCGATCTGGTGTTGTGCTTGGAGGGGATCGGGTGTTGGGTCGGATTAGGAGCTCAACCGGGTCCATGTTGTTGTTGTCGTCGTGGTCGTTGATAGGCCTACCCTTTGGGGTCCTCAATCGGAACATATTTTCAGTCTCTTTAATGAATTTTCTAAGATAAAAAAATAGGAGGAAAAAGTTTTTAAATTCTTTATACCAATTAAGTTTTTGGATGTTATATATAATTGTATTTCAAAACTCCTTGTTTTCAAGAAGTGTTAAGTTTTTAAGTGCAATTTTTAAAAGGGATGCCAAATGAACGGGCCCTTAGGTTTTCACTATCATTTACCTATTTCTTCCCATTATCTTCTCGAGATTAGACCCATTCAGTGCAGGAGAATCGGATCAAAATTTGTTGAATGTTACGCCAAAATTTGCTAAACAAACCAGGCCAAATAGACAAGGTTAAAGGGACCATTGTCGCATGCAGACTGAGAGATGTAGTGGGAAAGTATCCTATAGCTAAAGCTAAAACCCTAGAGAAGAAAAGATAACAAGAGTCTGTGTAGAAATTTTTTAGTTTACTGGGAACACGATCCGATACACCAAATATCATCATATATATATATATAGTTGAAATGTGTTTTAAAGTATCCAATCACTTTTATTATTACACTTGATAAAACAGATATATTTCCGTACACTAAAAAATCTCTCAAGCCTGCGAGAAAGAGCTGCATCGTATCCGGTGCTGGTGAAAATATACGAAGCAATATGCAGAATGCGGGATAGGTTGGACTGTGGAAGGTGATGTATATTACACGCAACGTTTAACATTTACAAATAACTAATACAAATTATTAATTAATTTAAAACAATAAATTGTCTGAAATGTATTGCATGATAGTCAGCACAAAACCCTTTTATCACGCATGCATTATCTAGGGTTAGCATGCACCACACCTACCTATATTATCCTCGATCGCCTCTCTTCCTTCCCATCGATTGGCCTTTTGTAAATTGGTATTATGTTTGTGAGTCTCTGACTTTGTTTGTGTGCCTACAATTTGCATGGATTTATGGCGCATGAACATGGTGTTTCTCTCATAATTTGTTTAGTAGTGATTAACAGATGGTGCTTATTGCCAAGAAAAAAGATTGTAATTAAGAGAAGGTTAGTGGGTTTGGTACAAAGATTAAAGAGAGTATTCTCATTGACTACCGTACATTCTTAAATAAATATAACAATAATGATTATGAATCATGAAGGGTTAGAAAATCATCTTGAAAATCCGATTGGAAGAGAAAAAAAGCCGTCTTTGAAACTTTTCAGTTTTTAGTGCGATCATAATAATGTAGCATTTGATAAAAAAACGTGATAGTGAAAGCTTGCCGGCCTCATCGAACAATTAAACTATTAAAATCAGTTAATACTGAACGAAATTAATTGACTAAAATGTGGGCTAATATTATACTAATTACGATCGTGATTTAGTTGTCTATCTACATATACACGAGTGATTCACAACATGAGTCTCATCACAAATTAAATCATGCTGGTGAGTGACTATGTTGTGGGAATATTTGTATTAGTGATCACCTGAAGACCAGTAACTTTTAAAAAATTATAATGAAAGTTAATTGATTATGACCATTAGTTCTCAGGTGAGCAATTTCTAATAATTAAAATTTGAAATAATTCGTAATCAATTACTAACTAATGTAAAATTCAATTTACTCGATTGTAACTGACCACCACATTACTGCCTTGCTTTCCAAAATTTTCTTTCATACATATTGAAAAATAGGAAGCCTTTAAGGGAAGGGATCTCCATTTTTCAAAAAAAATGGGAATATCCTCATGACCGTTAGATTTGGCTTTAATGAAATCAAGTGGTTGAGATTTTATGATCTGTTATTTAATCTCAATCACAAAATTTTATTAAAGTCAAATTTAATGGTCAAGAGAGTGTCCCTATTTTTCAAAAAAAATGAAGATCCCTTCCTTTAAAGGGCTGTTGAAAAATAACAAGATACTTATAGAGATGCATAACTTTTCATAAATTGATATGTTAATTATTGGTACTTACCACATATTCTCTTACAGAGTGGTAATACTGAAACCAAAATGGGTTTTCGGCAAAATATAGTCATTCATGCAAATCAGTAAACGTGATGAACCAGTGGAAATGTTCTATTGGGCACTACGAAACCACACCGAGCCTGAATCATAAAACACCACTCCCAACTCCCACCACACACCAAAATACACAGTCATCACTGCCCTCAACCCCAAAACCCTAAACGATTCAACTTCATCTCTCTTTCTCTTTCTCTCTCTCTGCATCTATCTGTTCCCACTTCAATTCCCAAAGCCTAGCCCTTACCTACACCTTACAGCCCAACCGGCTGTCTTTTTACTAACCCAATGACATTTATACCCATCCTTTCCTTCGTTTCCCTACCCTAGTTGTCCTCCTTTCATTCCCGAGATAGCAACATTAAGGAACAACAAAATGCCAACTAAATTCCTAGAACCTAGCAAAAAAGAGTGCACGGGCCAAATTGTCATTTCGCCACTCCCACTGTGTTTTCGAGCAAACACAAACGAAAACGCCAATCCCTCATTTACTTAATTACTCTCTGAAATCAGCCGCTACCCGCCATGTTTTCAGAGATATTCAGCACCAAAAACAATACGCATGTCAATCTCTCTCTCTCTCTCTCTCTCTCTCTCTCTCTCTCTCTCTCCCCTTTGTCGTTTATGTTTGACTATCTGAGTCCCTCTATAAAAAAAAATCCCATGCAAAAGGTAATAACCCTATTGTCGTCTCTCCAACTCCATCTCTTCTCTCTCTCTCTCTCTCTCTCTCTCTCTCTCTCTCTCTCTCTCTCTCTCTCTCTCTCTCTCTCTCTCTCCCCATAAACCCCTAAACCCTGGAAAAACAAAGACAAAAAAATGGAGGGTGATCACCATCACAGTGCAGTCCTACTGGACCAGCGGCATGTGCAGGCGGGTTCTGGGCGTGCCGGGGACAGCGGGAGTACATCCCGATGGAACCCAACAAAGGAGCAGATTGATATGCTTGAGAATTTTTACAAGCAAGGAGTGAGGACGCCAAGTGCTGAGCAAATACAGCAGATAACGAGTAGCCTGAAGGCTTTTGGTCACATCGAGGGGAAGAATGTTTTTTACTGGTTTCAGAATCACAAGGCAAGGCAGAGGCAGAAGCAGAAGCAAGAGAGCATAGCTTATAATCGCTTGTTACATAGAAGGACAACTCAGCCAATTTTTCTTCCTCCTTATGATTTGAATCTTCCTTGCCCAAATGGTAATTTTATTTTTTATTTTATATTTCAAGATTCATTAGATTTATGAATATATTGTTCTGGAATTTTTAGATGGAACTGTTATGAGCATATTGTTCTGAATTTTTTAGATGAAACTCTTACACACAATGAGTTCATTAATTATATACAGCTTATACAAAGAGAATTGTTATTAGCACTCCACAAATCTCATTCTACACTCCTCACAAGTGTATTTTTCATTATAATTATAGAAAGTTTAGAGTGCAAAATGAAATTTTTGGAATGCCAATAACAATTCTCTATACAAAATATATAAACACATTGAATACTATGAACATATTGATCTGGTTTCACATGACCTCATACTTCAAAATTTGTCACGTGAATACCACATGAGAGAATGAATATGAAAGTGTTGAACATATATTTCATCTTATAGTTTAGGGAGATCGAACATGACTGACATGTGAGTATTGAATGTGAGAGAGTGCACATTTTCTTTATGCACGCGACCTGGGTGTGTGGTTAAATGTTCTTAAACTCTATGTGGTTGCGTACTATATATGGTTGTTTCCAAATTTCTTTTTATTTTTCTTTCAAAATTTAGTTATTTAAGCTTTGTTTTATTTTCTCCTTAGGCTGATCACAGTTGGTTTAAACTTATGCTTGCTCTATATAGTCATCACGAATCATGACATTTTGTACAAACTGTTACTTTTTCTGATGTGTAATGCTAGGAAGACTCATTTTTAGACCAAATTTGTAAACTATATGATGTTTCACCAAGAGGAAATAAGCAAGTTAATCAACACTTAAGTAATAATCCAATTCTCAACAACCACATTATATGATTTACAAAATTTAGTCTAAATAGTTTGTCTCCCTAGCATTACTATTTTCTGATAGAATAACCTTTTGGGTTAATCCACTTTAAGTTGTTGGTTCCCATCATAGCTCTTAAAGTTTCAATCTTTGGTTTCTCATTTTGTTTGCAATAGTTTGATTATTTGACCAAATTAATAACTTGGTGTTTTCATTTCAGTAATGTGCAGCCCATACTACGTACCAGTTCATAGTGAGCTAGGGTTCTATCCGCAGTCTCCATATCCCAATAAGGTGCCTCTCCCTGGTGTTCCTAGTGTAGTCAAGAGGAGACCAAGGGCCGAGAAATTGGAAAAGCGAAGAACCACCTGCACTACTGGTGGCGCTGGTTATGAACCCATGAATCCACACAATGGATATAATACTAGTGGAGGCAGCGATATGATCAACGATGCCACGAGCAAACTTATCAGCAAATGTGACCAACAAACACTGCCGCTTTTTCCTTTGCAACCCACTGGCATTTTGCAGCAAGGAAGAGAAGATCAAAACTACCCTTCTACTGTTAACGATGCTGACTGTTCCTCTGCTGCTCTAATTGGCTCTATTGCTGAACAGATTGTTGGTGACCGGCAGCCTTTCTATGATTTTTTCTCTGCATAGGGCAAGCCTGTTGTGCTTGGGAATTTTAAGTGAGTTAATTAAGGTTTTGGTTAACGAACCTCGTCACTGGATTTGTTATTGGGATGTAATTGTTGGGTTTTTTTTAGTGTTAACTCATGGATCGTCTAGGGTTTTTGTACCTTTTCTCAACTTTCTTGACGTTAAAAAATTAATTAAATAAACTTAACTCAAATCTAATGCAATTCGAAGTTTTAATTTATTTTAATTGAGTTTTGGAGATTTGTTCAAATTTTATAGTGGTGGCTCGGGTAGGGATGGGCAACGGTTATGGCGGTCAAGTAACTGCGGTTATTTATCCATAACCGTTTATGCTCATACCCGCACAATCGTTTACCTGTTGGGTATTTGCCTAAACGGTTATACCATACCCATAACCGTTTATAAACGGTTAATCATACTCATAACTGCGTACCCATTTAACCGTAACCGTTTAGTACCCGTTTACCCATTTACTATTTTTTAACCCGTTTATCCATTCTTTTTTATCATTTACCTATTTTTCATCTGTCTACATGTGTTTTTAACAACTTCAAAATTAAAAAAGAAAAATTTGTCATTTGACAATCAAGGAGTCTACATATTTTTTCAACACAAATATAATATGTTTATATTTGTTCCACTTTGCTGCAGAAAATCTCATCTGACTGTTATGTTGGCATATGGATCTAATGGATCATACCCATCTGCATCATATATTAATTGTCACCAAAATTTGAACAACTGAACAAAAATCTTAGAGAGAGAGAGAGAGAGAGAGAGAGAGAGAGAGAGAGAGAGAGAGAGAGAGAGAGAGGGAGAGATAGCTTGTTGCTTACATGATAATCCGAAGGAGTTGATGAGAGAGAAGATGAAAAGCAAGAGCAGGTTCATCTTTTCTCCAAATTAAAAATTTTCAATTACACTGCACTAGCATATATCCAAACACATGCAGTGAGATGATATATTCTCAAACTGGGACAGAGATCCCAACCGGATCTCCCCCACCAAGTCCTAATGATCCGGAGATCCGAACTCTTGAAATGTGATCCTACAAGTCCCTTAAACTGTGTTGAGTCTATATTATATTAACTACATAAACCATGCATTATAGTCAATAGCATTGATTTAAGTTTGTCTGACAGGGAACATAGTTTGTGTTAATTTTACATATATAAAATAAACGGGTAAAAGGTTATCCGTTATAACTGCGGTTAATACCCATAACAACCCATTTAAATTTCACAGGTAAACGGTTATACCCATAACTGTTTATTTATCTAAACGGTTACCTATAACCGTAACTGTGAAATTTAAATGGGCGGGTAACCGTGGGTTACCCATAATCAATGGGTATTTGCCCATCCCTAGGCTTGGGTCCAAATCCCCTCCAGATCTTTTTATACGGAGCCAGCGGGCCCAATGATAAGCCTATCGAACCGATTTGCTTCTTCCTATTTCTCCGTTTGTTCGGAGTCAAAGTGATGGTGGTAGTTTTTCTTTGAGTCGGCGTCGGAGGTGTCGATAAATTCCCAGTGTATGATGAGGGAAAGTGGAAGGGTAAGCACGATAAAAGACGAAGAGATATGGGTGGAAGGAGCCCGGCCCCTATTAGTCTATTTTATTTTTAATCTTTTAAATTCATTAAGATCAACTCCAACCCTTAAACTCAAATCCAAAGACATAATATAGGTCTGTGAACAATGAATGTCACCGAACTCTCAAGGCCTAAATTGCAAGACCTAAAGTGTATTAATTGTTGTGGAATAGTTTTAACCCTGATTTTTTATTTTTTTTTTGGTGACTTTGAGTTGTAATATCTTTTAATTAATTTTACGAATGTTTTAACTTTAAAAAAATTTAATCGGGACAAAATTTTCAAAACTGAACAAATAACACCAACCAACCACTCGACTAATTTATTGGATCTGTTTTAAAAAATGTATTTTATTATTTTTACTGTTGAATTTAAATTTCAGTCGTTGAATCTTTGTTAACCGTTGGACTGTAAGATCAAAATCTATTCAAAATCTATAGATTGTAATAAAATAAAATAAAGGTTTCGTTTTGGACTGTTGATCACCAACGGCCCAAAAATCGAATGGCCATTTAGGCCCCTAAAATGTTAACGTTTTGCAGCAGTCGGCCAATTTAAACAGCATCGGCGTTGCTCTATAAAAACAGGTGGGCCCCCAAAAACTTGGGTCAGCCTAATAGAAACTCAAGGTTTTAGTTTGGGTCCAAAGCCTAACTTTTTGGGTTTAAGACCATCTCCAAATAATTTCAAGGATGTGTCAACTTATAAGAGTCAAATTATAATTTATGGCTTATATGATAATCTAAAGACTTTATCAAATTTTGTACTTCTCCAACCGAATTGTTAAATATTATTTTATTATTTAAATATAGCTTTAAATGGTTGTAATTATTAGAAAATTTTTGAAACTAAAGTTTTATTAGTTGAAATGTTAGTGGATTAAGGAACCCACCATTAAAATGAATTAAAAATAAATTTGACATTGATGTCAAATTTGACTCTAAATCACAAAGCCTTCAAATTCAGTGAGCAAATAACACTTCGGTTGTAAAGACTTTTGATGTCAATATGTACAGTGGCATTCCAACTAGGATTTTGACATCTTATTTGGAGATGCTCTAAGTCTTTTCATTAGATTGCATGTTTTGGCTATAAACCCAAATATTTGGGTATGTGTCTTGCCCTTGAAGTTGGTCTAAGGATAAAGGTGAAAAATCACAACCTATGATTTTAAAGCATTACCTATGTAGTTGAATGTGTTAGTGGAATACACGTGTCAAGTGATAAATGAGAAAGATAGACAGGAAAAGGTAAATGCGAAAGGTAACTAGCATTCTCCAGCAAAATAATTAGGCCAATAAACTATAACTAAAGTTTGATCACTGAACTACTTTTATAGTCTTACTCTTAACTGCATAAAACCATTAAAGTTGTAAATTTTTGTACAATGAAAAGGATAATGCTAGGGATACATATTTTTAAACCAAATTTGAAAATCAAAGGATGTGTCATCAATAATAAATAACCACGTTAATCAACACTTAAGTAATGATCTTATCATTAACGTCCATATCATTTTATTTATGTTTAGAAATTTAATCTCCGTAACATTATCATAATAAAAATAGTCAATAGTAGGAAGCGAAGTAGTTGGTGCACTTCCAAAGTCACCAAATCAAATGATATGTACCCTTAAAATTTGATCTAACAGCTAAAGTTATTATAATTTTTAAAAAGAGCTCATATTTCTAACCGTTTGATCAAATTTTAAAAACCCAAGTCACTTGATTTGGTGGCCAAAGTAAAGGATGGAAAATATCTTAATTTGTGTTTAAGCTTCTTTGAAAGATAATAAAGTCACGTGTAACATCGTCGAGCGGAGAAAGAGTGCTTTAAAAACACACGAGGGGTGACTAACCACGCAATTCAATATGCCGAATTGACGAAACAACCCCTCTTAACCCCACCTGCTCGCTTCCCATTGGCTCCCGCAACAACCTCTCATAATTCCCCGCGCCAAAATCAACGACTAGTAAAAAAAAAAAAAAAAAAAAGAGTACGGATAATCCGGAAAAACGATATCTCCTCATCTCCTTCGCTTCCACTTGCTGTACTCTCCCGTGAACCACTGAGAGAGTCTGGGACCCACTCTCAAACTCCTCTCATGGCGAAGACTCTCATCTCATCCACGCCCTTCGTCGGCGCATCTCTGCCGTCCGTCTCCCGCCGTGGGTCCTACGCCCTCCCCTACCGCAGCACTGGACTCGCCACCACCAGAATCAGGCTCAGCCTGCACGACTCCGTTCCTCCGATGAACCCCTTCGACCACTCGGCCGTCGACGTCGCCTCGCTTTTGAGCCGCGCCGAGGGACTTCTTTACACTATTGCCGACGCCGCCGTGGCCGTCGACCCGAGCTCCACCGACGCCACCGCTCAGAAGAACGGCGGTTGGTTCGGCTTCATCTCCGACGCCATGGAGTTCGTGCTTAAGGTAGTTTGGATTTCGTAAATTGTGTAAATTTCTGAGAAAATGAATGACATTTCGGAGATTATTTGCTGAATTTTACTGTTTGAAATTGAATTTTGATAGATTCTGAAAGGCGGACTTGAGACCGTGCACGTGCCGTATGCATACGGCTTTGCAATTATACTGCTTACAATTATCGTCAAACTTGCCACATTGCCGCTCACAAAACAACAGGTTTGGTGTTTGGTTGTTGATAATTTGTTTTGTTTTTTTTTTTTATAAAAATCCATCTGTTTTTTTCAAAATTTTTGAACTTTTTGGTACAATATTCGTAACATGCAGGTGGAATCGACGTTAGCGATGCAAAACCTTCAACCAAAACTTAAGGCCATACAAAAGAGATACGAGGGCAATACGGTGAGGCTTTACTTTTGTTGAAATGGGTTTCCTTTAACTGTTGAGTCGGAGTAATTGCCGAAATGGGTTCGGTTAAATGTTTGCCAACCTGTTTTTGTAGTGGTAACTAATTCGTAGCTATGGTTTTTTGCTATGTAGGAAAGAATACAACTTGAGACATCACGGCTGTATCGGCAGGCAGGGGTTAATCCATTGGCAGGTAACCAGTTTAATTTATCACTATAAAGTTCACAGATGTATGCCTGCGTGCGTGCTGGATTGATCAATTACTGCTTTATTTGAATGTGAAACACCTTCAATATGAGTTGTAATCTGACTTAATTTGCATATTCTTACATGAATTTGATGAGTTGTTAGGTTCAGTAATGAGAAATGAAACACAACTGTTTGCTGTGTTGGTTCATCTTGAGATATCTAAGTTTACTAATGGAACCAATTTCTGTTTCTGTCTAACTTTTAAATTTAAAAAATTTCCATGTTTTGCAATATCATGTTGAGCTGTTGTGTTGAATTTAATTTCATCTCTTGATCGTATTCTGGTGTGTCACCTTGAGCCAAATTACAAGGCTCTAATTCAATTTTTGAATGTAGGGTGTTTACCAACTTTGGCCACAATACCGGTTTGGATAGGTCTATATCAAGCTCTTTCAAATGTGGCAAATGAGGTAATTAGTTGGTTGCCACTAAATTTTCAGTGGTGAGATAACTATTATCATTAAAAAATAAAAAACAATAATGCTGATATTTGCAATTTTTTGTTTATTCAAAGGGATTGTTGACAGAAGGTTTCTTTTGGATCCCCTCTTTGGGTGGCCCAACAACAATTGCTGCTCGACAAAGTGGTTCTGGCATTTCGTGGCTGTTTCCCTTTGTGGTAAGATATTTTGTGATTTCATGCATTATGAAGTTAGCAATTGGTATACTGCTAAGCTTAGTCCACCTTAATTGTGGAAGCAGTAAACCAATTGTTATCTTAGCAGGTGTCTAACAATTGGTAAAGTATACGGTTAAATGTGTTAAAGTTTGAATTGTACAGATCGAATAGTTGTATCATATTATTACTGAGTCCAAGTTACTTTCATGTGAATTCAACTGGTTATTACAAAGGATAATTTATGACACAGGATGGACATCCACCGTTGGGCTGGTCTGACACTGCAGCATACCTTGTTTTGCCTGTCCTCCTTGTTGCTTCTCAGTATGTTTCAATGGAGATCATGAAGCCTCCACAGGTATAGATTTGTGTGTCTGCATTTACATTGGTTTCTCTATTCATTTTGATTCCTGTTTCCTTTTGCTGCAAAACAATTTGTATGGTTGCGGGATTAAATTATGGGCCATTCAGGTGTGTGGTTATCTAGACTAACAGATTTTTATTTTCCTGTTTGTAACCTTAACTCTTTCTTTGGCAGACTGATGATCCAGCTCAAAAGAACACTCTTCTTGTATTCAAGTTTCTTCCCCTCATGATTGGTTACTTCTCCTTATCCGTTCCTTCAGGATTGTCAATTTACTGGTTAGTTTTTCATTAACGAATTTACTCTGTATATCCTCTTTCATGTATGTTGTATGCTAATATACAAATTACTGCCTGAATTTTGCGTGGGACTTCCTAAAGGCATCTGTTAAGGAACATGAACGCACTCCTTCCTTTTAATGTCTTAGAGCTCTTATTCCTTCTGACAAGGGCTTTAACATTTTGTTGATTTGGCCTCAGATGTCTTAAGCTATTTCTTTATTGTATTTTATACTAGCATATGGGCACACACAAAGTGTGTGAGAAGTTTTTTTATTTTTGTTTTTGAAACATAAGGAGAGAGGAAGAGAGTGATAGAGAATGTGGGAGTGGGAAGTTTTTTATTTTTTATTTTTATTTTTAATTTTTAATTAGAGATATGTTAGGATTACATGTAGGTGAGGCTTTGAAAAAAAAAAAACAACAAAATTTGGTTGTGTGAAATTACATTTTTGCCTCATATTTTTTATTCATGTTTTGTTTTAATTAGAGGGTTAAACTGGTAATTTCATAGGGTTTTGGTTGATTGACAATGAGTGTTTTATTAATTAGTAGAGATAAGATCCATGGTTTTTGCATTTTTTGGTTAAAAGGGACAGCTTACTATTAATGAGTTTCTACAGTTACACTGTCAAATTTTGTTGGTACAGTCAGTAGCGCATCTATATCATACTGTAAAAACTTATCCTTCCACTTCATTTTAATTTTTAATTTGTAATTATTATTCTCTGTGGTTGCCACCACTGTCATGTTAATGAATATTATATTGGTTTCCTTTATTAAAAAACAAAATACTATTATTAAGGGGACGGGGGAGAGTTCGAAACTATTACATTAGTTTAGGGTATGGGGGAGTTTTGAACCCGGGAGGCATGGGTAGAAACCCCACAACCTATCTCCTAGGATATTGCTTTCCTCAAAATACAATCTATCTAGCATTAGGAATGAAAAAAAGTATGTTTACTTTCCTTTGCATGCTTTATCTGGTGTAGTTCTGAAAAATGATTCAAAGTGACCTCGTCTACGCTCATTCTTTATCAGTTGTACTATGTGGTTTCCAGGTTCACAAACAATGTCCTCAGCACGGCACAACAAGTATGGCTACGCAGATTAGGAGGTGCAAAGCCTATTGTGAATGAGAATGCAAGTGGAATCATTACAGCAGGACGTGCAAAGCGATCAGATTCTCAGCCAGTAGAAGCTGGCAGTAGGTTGGTGTTATACTTTGGAGAATTATATAAAATCTTTCATAAAGTTTTGTTCCTGACCAAAAGAAAATTGGTGATCAACAGATTTAGGAAGTTAAGAGAAGAAGAGAAAAAGAAGGAGTTGAGCAAGGCATTAGCAAATGAAGAGGTTCTGACTTCTGATTCTGAAGATGGTCCAGATGAAGAAAGTATTGACAAGGTAAAATGCAAAATTTAGCGTGATGATTAGATTTAACTTGTTAAATAGTCTTCTAAAGAAGAAACCTTAGCATTATTTCTGAACAATATGAAAATATGACTTTGCTTTTACGTATAATTTTAATGATTATTGAAGAAAATAGGAGGTCGCACTTGGTGCGATGGCAAGTGCCTTCGCCCATGAGCGGTAGGTCTCGGGTTCGAGACTTGGGAGCAACCTCTCCATAAATGGGGGTAAGGCTAGCCGACATTTACCTCTCCCAGACCCTGCGTAAAGCGGGAGCCTTGTGCACTGGGTACGACCTTTTTTTTTATTGAAGAAAATAGGAGTTGCGTGTATAGAGGTACCTTGCTAATCCATTTTTCAAAGCGGAAGTTTTCATTGGATGGTAAAAAAATTCCTTGTTTGTTTTATTTTAATAGTCCCAGCTACAGTTAAAGTACCTAATAATCATCCATGATTCCTTTGAATGAAACTAATTAATTTTAACAAGCATATTGGGGGCTTGAAGTTAGTCACTTTTACAGCGTGATCATAAGCCATAACTTCTACTTTGTCTTTTTGATGATAGTTTATGGGTTCCACTACTGGTGTGTCAATTGATTTACTGTTGCAAGAACTTGTACAAAGTGGATTGCAGAAGTCTCTTATTTCTTCACACATGCATGATAATGTGCATGTCTGCCATGGATTTCTTCTTCTGTACTACATGCTAGGCAGCCCACTGAGTTTGATTCCCCACCCAACTATCTAAAAATGGGATGTTTTTTATCTTGTCACCGTACTAAAACGAGTATTTCATGAAACTCAGATGGCCACTTAAGTCTAATGAAATGAAAATAAAATCATCAGTTAGTAAATTTATGGAATGGTTTCTTTGTTGTTGTATTGAACATTATAGAAAAGAAACTGAATGTGATCCAATTAATTAGGAACAACATAACCATATCAAGTTAGTTAAAATTTCATTGTATTAAAAGTTTGGAATGGTTTCTTAGAGTGTTGTATGTGATTGAAGATTATACGCACTTGTTGAAAAAGCTTCCAAATGATCCTACCGCAAACTCATAAAAGCGTGCTGCATGTTATGATTAAGTTTGATTTGTCTCATTATTAACATTGAGACATAGTTGAAGCTCATTATTTTTGAGACTAATGAACTGATCCACTATTAGTGAAAATTAGGATGTCTAGTTGTATTTAAAACTAGTTTAAGTTTGGCATTTGGAACTAATTCAGAGGTTCTATCAGGGTGAGGAGGTTCTAGAAGAGTTGTACGCGTCTAGTGTTTAGAAAAAAGAGCTTCCAAATGCATCCTCGACCAAGGAGAAGCAACGATCTAAAACAAGGCGTGGAAGCATAAATGACTGTATACTGATTAAAAGTTGTTCAAGCCGGTGGCAGACTCCTGTATTAAAATCTTTTTCAGCCAAGTGTGTTTGTAAGTTCAAACATTATTGTAGCTTTACATGCCAGCTTTATGTTGGCTCATTATTTTTGAGATCTAATGAAAATCATGCTAATTAGTTCTCATCTACCATTGACCAAAAAAAGTTCTCATCTACTTAGTCTCTTCATTCCACAGGGTGCTAAAATGTACTTTCTTGTCAGATTTGTTACTTTTCATTTTTGGTTAAAACAAGAGTAATTTTAAAGTTGTAGCAGAGTCGTTATCAATGCAGCTGGTTTTTCCAAATTTAGAGGCTTTCGGCAGCAGGTCTGTTTTCATATTTTCCTTTTTCATTCTTCTGCAACTTACCCGAGCCATTAGGATGACATGTTATCCTTTGAATGTCTGTCATTTGTAGATTAAAAGATTGCCCGGGTAAGTGATATATGTGAACCTTTTTTCTAGCCTTTTAGTAATTCCTGACGTTAGCAGTTCTACAGAAGATTTAGATTATGGAACTCCTACACTATCATATTTGTTCATGCACAAATGCCACAAAAGCTTCTAGAATTCAGATGTTCTAAATCCAATTTTGTACAAGCACATACCTCAGAGGAGAGGTTTTTTTGACCTACAATGAAACCACTAATCTCCCTTTAGGCCTACATTAAATACAAATTATTATACAATAATCCAATTAGTTCTACTTGCTAAGTTAACTACAATTGCATCAAATGTTCATTGCTCCGATGGTGGGCGATGATTCCCTACTGGGTTCGGTCGTGATGGAGTTTTATGGACGTTCCTTCCACTGACCTGATTTGTAATGTTGAACAAAGATGCAAAGGAGTCAAGGTAAAGTTACTTGAATTTGAGTAAATGCTACTGATAAATCCAATCGTATCATATACACACCTTACTAGGCAGAACATTTCTGGTTCTTGACCCCACCGACCCTGAACCTGAGCCAGGTTGTGCAGTATTGAGCTTGTACTGAACTGCGGCCAGCAACAAAGAAGGTAATATGTATTAAATCTTGAAGGAAACAAGGTACAATCTGTTCAGTTGCATTGCATTTTCTTTAGAATGATATGAATCATGTTCAAATGTTTGTTACATTTTCTCACATTATTTAGAAAGAAAGAAGATAGGGACCTTTCGTGCCTAGGATTGGATTAGATCAGATAAATCACTAAATTCAGGTTACGTTGTCGGAAGAAATTGAGGCCAACTTCCAAACTTTGTCCACTAATGGTAGAACAACATCTTGTAATAACGAGCCTTGAATTTACTGCGTTATCTGATCTAATCCAATCCTAGGCACCAAACGTAGCCGCAGTGTCTTACCTGATTCAATAGCTTGAACATGAATATTGTAGTAGTGGTATTGAGAAGCTGCAAGCAGGAGCCACACCAAGAGGAGATGAATGGGAGTTTGTTTTCTCATGTTGAGCATGCTAACAGTGAATAGGAATATTTTGGGATGTTTGGTGTGGCAGGGCTTCTTATAAGCCGGAAGAAATGATTATATATGCCACGCAGGCATCGCCCTAATCATAACCTATTTTGAAAAATTTGTGGGAATGTTTTGTTAAAAAGTTGGATGGGAATCCTGTGCCATTTGAGAAATGCTAAGGAGACTCTCAAAAATGGAACTCTCCATGAACTTTTTGCCACATTGTATTTTTTGCATAATGTTTTATAATGCTAGCACGAGAATTGGCGTTAAACTGTGAGGTGGCAGAGTCTCCTTAGCATTTCTCTTTTTACATTACAAAATCATGTATTGCTCCTCATTATTAGTTGACTTCTTTGTACTTATGATTGCATCCATGACTACTTGAAAACCATGCTGTCGGCAACTTACATCTCCTTTTGGAAATAAAGACGCTCGTTTGATAACTATTTTGTCTGTTAGTTTTTAGTTCTCACTTTTCTGGTGGAGATAGAGGAATGAGAGATGGTGAAAAGTGGTAGGAGGAATGTGGAAAGAATGTACATGAAATGGTACATAATGCAAAAACTAGAACCTCGAAATTTTTTTACATGTTTCCGCTTTCAAGTTTTCATTTCTACATCCTTCCTCCTCTACCCTTCTTCATCCCCCCTTTCTCCCACTTAATTCCCATTTATCTCAAACGGGAAAATAAAAATTAAAAACTGACAGCGAAATAATTATCAAACGAGCGGAGCATTACATTTACTACTTATATTTCTCCTCATCGTATCTTTAGTGGCTTTGTTGCGATCATGATGATGCTCAGCACACATGCCTATGCCTACAAATCCAGAAGTGCATGCGTCTTTGTTTGTTTGTCTAGTGAGCTTCCGTAGAGAATGTGCTTTCTACCGGAGTCACTCTTACTCATTTCCATTAAGATCTGTACACTGTATCTAGGAGTTTGCAAGAGCAGAAGCACCTGAGAGAAAAAAGTACTTTTCATGATGGAGCTTCTGCTGGAGGCCACCCAACTCTTAATACTTGATTACCAAATGAGCATGCCAATAATCTGTCTGGATTCCCATAATCCAACTATTGATTCTGGACTCACCAGACTCCTCCCATATGGATTTTTACAGTGTCTGCAAAGTTGGATGGTTTTGTAAAAATTTGATGCCAAGAGGTGGAACCTGACGCATGTATTTCGTCATTCTCATAAGCCAGAAATCATTAAGTTGAAACATCAACGAGTTTGGCGTAGTCTCTAAAACGACCATTTTGCACTCCTCTTGTGTAACAACTTGAAGGAAATATTGGAAGATTATGGGACGACATTTTTAATGCGCCAATAACAACTCTCTATGTTACTCATTATTAAATGATGCCTTGTAAAAATGAAAAAGAAAAGTGTCTTCTTGCACCCAACGTGTGCTAAGGCACCACGGGGGACAAAACCAACCTGTTGCTAAGATGTAGTAGTCTAACTTTGGAACCCTAATTGAATCGAATGTTGTTTATATTGAATAGTTCCATTATTAAATACGTTGACGTCTTTTATATAAAACCATATAAAACCCTGCACTTGCAAGTAAAAAGGGCGACTTTAAGCCAACAAAAATTCCCCGTTTTGCGAGGGTCCGGGGAGAGGAACGTCTATCGTACGCAACTTTACCCTCGTTTTGCAAATAGATTGTTTTTAAGATTCAAATCCATGACATTTTGATCATAAAGAGCAACTTTTCCGTTCGCCAAGTCCATGCAGGTAATTACCTTGGGGGGATTAGTAGTGAGTCAGTGAACTACTTAACTACTAACGTCTCCAAAGCTATGGCGGACTGGGCCTTAGGAAGTGGGTAGGTTGGAGGAGTTTCTAAAACTTTGGGGTCTCAAATGTTACGGAAAATTGAAAAAAAAAAAAAAAACTTAAGGACACTATCACTACAATTCACTAATCTTCTTCTGCACTTATAAATAGAAAGTCTTCGGTACGACTCTCATGAATGAGTTCACTATCAAATTATTAATGCTCAGTTGTATGTCTTAGCTCAACCGCAACCCCAAAATATCATTGCATACAATGTCGTACCTGAAGTCGCTATTAGCATATACCGATAATTAGTGTCTCATAAGTTGATTACCCAATTTAAAGATATCTGATTCTGCCTCCTCAAGCTAACCAATGGAGAAATCCAAACATGATCATGAGCAACTTTCTTGTGGATATCGAACAAGGAACCTCGGGTGCAAGGACGAATGCTCTTATGGGTCCCAATATTAGTCAATCAATTCAAGTGGAGTTGGATTGTTGTAAACATATTTCCTGTAGGTCATCCTATTCCCCGATGTTCCACTCATATTACAATGAATACAAGGGTATCTTCCCTTATTTGTCAGAGTACTAAAACATGGGACATTGATTTTTTACGTCTGTTCATTTCCGAGGTGGAGGTCAAGGCTATTCGTGACATTCCAATGGGGTCTTTTTCTCGGCAGGATCGGTTGGTTTGGTCTGGGGCTAAATGCGGCAAATACTCAGTAAATGGGGGATATCACTGGATTCACTCCTCGAGGTTGATGGTTGGGGCATCTAATTCCTTGGTTCTTCCTAATTCAGAGGATATGGTCTGGAAGGCTGTGTGGAAAGTTAATGCACCACCTAAAATCTAAAATTTCATATGGTGGGTTGTGAGGGAGGCGTTGGCAACAATGATAGGGTTATTCTTGCATTGGTCGGCTCCATCACCTTTGTGCCCCATTTGTAAGAATCAAGAGGAGTCTGTTATACATATGCTTTTGCGGTGTCCTTGGGTGGAGCCAATTTGGTTGGCGGGCAGCTTTGTCTTCGGAGGGTTGGCGATGGGGTTTCTTCTTTTAATTCCTGGATCCAAGATATGATAAATTTGGCTTCTCACCCGCGGGAGAGATCCAGGATCCTTTCCATTATTGCTTTTTCTTGCTGGCATATCTAGAAGGCAAGGTGTAATTATGTCTTTAATGCTATAACCATTGTTCCCTCCCATGTGATGCATGCTATCTCATTATCCTTGGTTTCCTTTTGGGAGGTGCAGGTCCCAAAGTCTTTTATATCCCGATCTATCATCGATTCTTCCAGGCCCGATCCTCGATGGTGCTGTCCAATTACCCTCTACATCAAAATTAATGTGGATGCTAGTTGGTCCCCTGTGAGTGGTAGGACCAATTTAGCAGCTGTGTTGAGAGACCATGAGGGGCAATTTGTGGCGGCTCATAAACTTTCTATTGTGGCTCCATCAGTGGTGTTTGTGGAGGCAATGGCGGTGCTGAAGGGATGTGAGTTGGCGGCTAAGCTGGGTTTGGGTTGGGTGGTTGCGGAGTCGGACTCACTTAAGGTGGTCTCTTCCTTGAATGGAGATATTTCAAATGGTAGCTGGGAAGTTTTTCCAATCTTGGAAAATATTTTAAAATTGGGGACCTCTTTCCAGGGCTGTCGCTAGTCTTGGATTCCAAGATCAGCTAACCAGACGACAGACTTTTTGGCGTCGAGGCAGAACATGGAAATGTGTGGCAACTGTTGGGTCAGACGACCCCCATCTTCATTGATTCACATTCTCAACAAGGATGGACTTCCTTGCCCTCCTTAAGGGTTTTTGTGTTGTTGGGGTGTGGTGGGATGACATCTGGCCTTTGTGGCAGTGTCCTTATGTTGTTGTCCCTCACACCTTTCGTGTGTTTTGTTGTGCTTGCCCCTCTTGTGGGCTTTCTTTGTACTGTTGGCTTGTGCCCTGGTAATGATATTTTCCAGTCTTCCTAGAAAAAAAAAATTATTTCCAAATCTTTATGGTAAATCTTGATAGCCCGTGAAAAATGGCTTTAGAAAACCAATCATGAAAAACCCACTACAGGTTTTAAATGGTTTGCAAGCCTAAGGACCACATTGTCAACTGAATTTGAATATATTATATATGTGAAAATGGAGATGATTTTCACACTTTTTTTTTTTTGCACAATCGGTAGTATCTATACTCAACTTCGTCTTTGACGAGAATCAAATTTAAAACCTCTCACTTACAAAGGACAATAAATACCACTAAATCGTAGTACTAATTGACACACCATTTTTAACTTCTCACCATTTCTTTTTATTTATTGCCGTTGCATTGAATAAATCAAACGGAAATAATGGACATGATTAAACTTAAGGTGTGTACGAACATTTTTCCCTTGCATAAAATGTTTTTCTAAATAGAAAGGCTATTTATAACAAGTCCCTTATGCTTACACTATTTATTTAAAAAAAATTAAAACTCATTTTACCTTTTCATTAAACCCATTTTCACTTCAAATAGTTCGGTTTTTCCTTTCCCGAGTCATTGTATGTTGAATTCTTTATCTTAGCACGTAGGTATAAACTTTTGCTTTAAAGAAACTATTAGGTGTGGATTGGATTTCATTCGGTCTGATTTTTTGTTAAATTATGACCTCTAGTACTATTTTTTGGGTTAATAAAAAAACCGCTGACAAAAAGGCGAAGAACAAAATTCACAATAAAGTAGCCGTGGACAATTTGAGCCAATGTTTTAAAAGATTCTAATACCACAGATTCGATTAAATTTTTGAATATTTTTATTCGTTTTCATTGGTTTGCTTTTTTCTTTTATAATAAAACCTGCACATTGTTTTTTTTTTTTTTAAATAAAATAAAATCTGAAAATTTCCATGCAATCCATCTCCTCTTCCTCGCGTCCCAGTCAAATCAAGTACAATTATCTCTAACAACTTAATTCACTAAAGTAACAAAAATGAAAAAAAAAAAAAAAAAAAAAAAACACCCTGGATATCACACTGAACTACCGAATCCGAAGGTACTAAGGTAGGGATGCCAGGACTTAGTAGGCAAGACACAGAGGAGGACCTTGGGAAGTGAGCCTTACCGGAATCTTGACACTCTCTGGCTGTAGCAATAATACCATGTTCCTATGTAATAGTTTAGGTAAACAGGGTATTGCTGCACTCTCAAGATGCAGCAATACCATATGCAAGAATTGATAATAATACTTTTTAAAATTAAGCTTTTCTGAAGACTCTTAAGTCAATGTTTAATTTAATTTTCATGCTAATATTATAAAATGTCGTAAAAATATAACATGAATTGTTAACTTAATTTTCGTACTAATATTATAAAATATCGTAAAAATAGGAGGTGAGCCTCGTTATCATTTCTCTCAACAGAGTAGTCTTACTCATTGCAAAAGGTTAACAAAAGACGAGAGCGCTTGTAGATTGATGTTGCTTTGTCGTGACGGTCCGTCTACCTCGAACTCTATACATAACTTGTACGACTGCTCCTCCCGTAAAACCCCACCGCTTCCTTCATTGGTTCCAATGTTATTTGATGTATAAAAGTTTAAAAATTACAATACTTGAAAGTAATAAATTAAGACTTATCTTAAAATACAGTACAAAATTACAGACGGTTTATGACTTGCATTTCTACTTATTCGTTGACGAACAATTTAAATAAATTTCTTTATCAAACTAAGTTTTAAGCCTAGCTATCTCTGGCGGTTTCTGACCATCACAGACTCCCCAAAAATAATTTAAATAATTGATGGAACAAACTATATTTATTTACCCATAGAAATTGACCTAGCTTCAAACCGAAATTGGATCCTCTCCGAGCCAAAGCCTCGGATCCTCTTGACCCAATAACACGGGCCGTTAGATTTTGATCCAACGACTACAAACAGGAGGTTCTTTTAAAAGTTACGATAATTGTAGCCGTTGAATCAAAATACAACCGTCCGTGTTAATGGATCAGGAGGATCCCAAGAGGATCCAATTCCCTTCAAACCCCTTCTCAAGTAAACCAACCTCTCTGACACACTGAAACCAGAGGGTAATTCTGTCTTTTTCACATCGAAAGTTTAGTCTATTTAGATGTGGGCACGGTAAGTTAATTCTAACACCCTCTATAATTCGGATAAGTTATGAAGTGGTTTGATACCTAAAAACTTTAATTGTTTACTTACAATTATTGATGAACGATCTATATGTTTAGCACTAATCATGCTACTACAATACTTGTGTTTGCATTGGGAACCATTTTATATGTGTTTCTTTATTGGAAACAACACAAACAATTGTTCTCTATGACAATGAGTTCGATGTTGTCACTTTTAAGGGATTTGAATCTCATTCGGATTCAAATTGTACATATTCTAGAGATCATCACATCCTATCAATTCATCGTATATTTTGATATCATAAATCTTTTTGAATTTTTTATTTAAAATTAAATATAAATAGTATTTGACGAAAACTTACTGTATGATATACGATGAACGATTAAAATATGAGGATCCCTAAAACACTTGGGAAGAGAATCCCAAAAAAAAACCTCATCTACTTTTAAATGGTCAGGTTCTTTATATATAGTTATTTTTTTTCCGCTTAAAGAACACAAATATGTAAATATGTGAATTACCTAAAAACATAAATAGCTTTTAATTATTTGCGACTCTGTATAACTAATATATCTGAACAGTGAACACCATATTATTCATCTCTATTCATAAAATTTTCTGTTATTAAATACAATATGTACAGAATAAATCAAGCGTAAAATGTTTTAACTTATGATAACAGTAACTAATCCAAAAAGACGGGATCCCAGAATAAGCTAGGACTTTCACTGTGTACTACAAAACCAAGAAAAAAGCATGCTCGCGTAAACACCCCCCCCCCCCCAAAAAAAAAACAAAAACAATCTTCTGACACACTGAAACCTAACGGCAATTACGGCTTTTCACTCAAACCATGGCTCCGTACACGTGGATCGGTGTACGGCATTTCTCTTCTCTATAAAACCCCGCCCAAAACCCTACTCTCTCCCACACTCATTTATCCAGAAAATCAAGAGAAATGGCTCCCTCTCGCTCCCTCTCACTCATCTCCACCACCACTCTCCTGATCCTCTCCGCCACATTCCTGATCCTCTCCACCGTTGCCCACGCCACTAAGCATCCACAATCCATCCTGACTGTCGTCAACAACTGCCCCTTCCCCATCTGGCCCGCCATCCAGCCCAACTCCGGCCACCCCGTCCTTCAACGCGGCGGCTTCTTCCTCAAACCCTTCAACCATCGCTCCTTCCCCGCCCCCATCCAGCCCTGGTCCGGCCGCATCTGGGCCCGCACCCATTGCACCCAAAAGGGACCTCGCCTCTCCTGCCTCACCGGCGACTGCGGCGGCCGTCTCGAGTGCAACGGAGCCGGAGGCGCTGCCCCGTCCACCCTTGTGCAGATAGACCTCCACCAAGGCGGCCCCCGCGACCTATTCTCCTACGGCGTCAGCCTCGTCGACGGCTTCAACGTCCCCATGACCGTCACCCCTCACAAGGGCCAAGGCCGGTGCCCCGTCGTCGGTTGCAAGGCCGACCTTCTCGCCACGTGTCCCGATCGACTGAAGGTGAAGTCACCGAAGGGCGTCGTGGCGTGCAAGAGCGGGTGCGAGGCGTTCGGCACGGACAAGCTGTGCTGTCGGAACCACTACAACAGCCCCCAGACTTGTCGGGCTTCGAGCTACTCGCAGTTCTTCAAGCACGCGTGTCCCACCACCTTCACGTTCGCCTACGACAGCCCTCCGCTCATGCACCAGTGCTCGTCGCCACGCGAGCTCAAGGTCCTCTTCTGTCCCTAGACAGTGAGACGTATGGTTCCAGCTTCCAACTGGTTTAACACTTCAACGTGCAGTTGAGTCGCTGTTCTCGTTTTTAATTACAATAAAAAATAATGTGTGTTTACAGGGGGAAATATTAAAGAAAATAAAAGGATCAAAACAGGTCTGGTTAACTAATGTGTGTTTACGGGGGTACCCCGGAAAAAAATTTGTGTAGTATGGGGGTGTGGATGGTTTGTTTGTGTAATTTGTGTAATGTTTTACGTAATGGAAGTGTTTTAAGCATAACATAAATGTGCTTAGTATTACATTTCTTGCTTATAGTGCTGGTCCCAGAGAAAAAAAGAAAATAAATAAGGGAATGTGAAATATATATATATATATAGGGAGACTTTGGATGCGGTTCTTAGTCATGAATATTTTTTTATTGAAACCTTGTTAGTTTTTAATTTTTGATTGAGATCCCTGAAATTAATGTGATAATTTATTTCTATGTACGTTACTATTTTTTTTTAAATTAAAAATTAGAAATTTTAGTTGTTTAATTAAATGAGATTTTAAATAAAAAACCATAATTTGTGGGATTAAAAATATTAAAATATAATCTACTATTGTGTGTGTGTGTGTGTAAACATGGGTACATTCATCAAAATTAACCAAAACAATCAAAACATGGGTACATTCTTCAAAATCACAAAAAAAAAAAGAAAAGATATTAGGCTTAATAACATTAGTAAATTTCTTCGGTTAAACTTGACATAGATACATTTTAAAATCAAAGAAAAAAGAATGTACCCATATAAGTTTAAAAATGGATTAGAAAAAAATTGAATAGATTTTATATTAAAAAAATGGTACATTTTACATATAACAAATTTGTATATTTAAGAATGAGTACATTTTAAGATTAAAATGTTTTACATGAATGGGTACATATAATTAGCATGGGTACATTTAGCAAAATAAAAAGTACGAATAAAAAAAAATATGGGTACAAATACAAATAAACTTTAAAAAATATGGGCACAAAAAGAAATTAATATATGGGTACAAATTAAAATTGAAAAGAAAATTGGTACAAATTAAAAAAAATTACAAATTAAAAATGGATACAAACTAAAACTAAAAATATATGATAAAAAATTTAGTCATAAATATAAATATACTAATTGTAACATTTTTAACATTAAATGAATATATTTAGAAATAAAAAATATTTAATTATTGAAATAATTAATGATTTAATAATACCAAGGACCTTGATCAAAAATTAAAAATTAATAAGATTTTAATCAATGGAGTAGTAAAAGGAAGGATGAGAACCTAATTTTTCCATATATATATATATATATATATGTTAAGGCTTTTACTAAATAAAAATCTTTTGATATCTTATCAAGTTCCAAGTGCAGTAGCTGACATCTATCAAGTAAATTAGTAGGAGTTTAATTAATGGGATTTTTGTTTTTGTTTATGTAAAGCTTTAGAGCTTAACTAATAGGACTTTGATTGTCTGCCCTCCCCATGCCTTCTTATTTTTGTGGTCACGTTTAAGCCACATTAATATTTTATATTCTCATTACTTTTTGTCTTATTATTTCTATAAAAAAATCAATATAAAATGTTGACGTGACTTAACCGTGATCACAGAATATAGGAGGGCATGGAAAGGGTAGACAATCCTAGTCCTAACTAATAAGTTAAGTCGCGAGTGGTAGGCAGAAAGTCCAGTTATATAATTTAAAAGTCAGCAGTTAATTAAAGATTTACCCGAGAAAAAAAAAATTGATCAAATTTGACAAAGTTGTGTTAAGAGAGTAAAGACGATGATAATAATGATTTGCGGAAAAAAGCAAAGTTCAAAAAGACGCGGCGGGCTGGACCTAGCGTATAGACGGTTAGAAGGGTGTTTAGGCAAATTAAGCGGATTTAAGTAAATATATTATATTACGTATAAATAAATGTCTGTTTATATTTAATATATATATATATGTATAATTTTATAATAAACTACAAAATAGAATGACATATATATTATGAAGTATTGGACATATAGGAACAAGCATATAATGTATCTTCATTTAAGTTTCAACAAGTCTTTACAATTTATTTAAAAAAAATGCAAAATGAAAGCTATCTATTTTCTGTCTAAGTGAGTCACAACCTAGTTGATGCCTAAGCAGGTTTGGGTGGGCTAAGTAGGTGCCTAGACAGTCTAGATGGGTGCATCAGTAGGTATAAGCGATATTTCTTAATTTTTAAATGTTTATACATTAATCGAGACGGTGATCAATTACCTAAAGTTTAGGTGATAATTTTTAGAACAGTGAAAAAAAAAAGAAGTTGGATTTGCGAGAGTAATAAAAGCAGAAGCAGATCGCAGGAAAGTGGCCAAAGGTCCCATCTTTAGAAAAAGGAATTCGAATCTCTGAGGAGTATCTGATGGTAAGCAGGAACGAAGGGCACAGGTTGACACGGATATATAGCCTCTGAAGAAAGAAGAGAAAAAAAAAAGAAAAAATAAAGAAAGAGAAATTGTGGTTTACCAAAAAAAAAAAAGAAAAGAGAATGGTGAGCTTTAGAGCCACAGAAATCTTTTGCTTCTTTTCTTTCTCGAAATTTGGCACTGTGCTATTACGTGGAGAAATTTTTAGTTGTGATGAAAACATAAGTGGTACACTATGTGTTTTAATAAGAATGGTAGGAAATTTTAATTTTTAAGTTATTAATTTTTTAGCACATATATCCCATTATTTGTTTTGTGACACGTGATATATCATCCCGTGTACCGATCACACTGAAAAATCTCTCTATTACGTGTTAGTGTTTACCCTTTTGCTTTAGGATGTATTTTCAATCCATTTCATATAGAATTTGAAATTTAAACTTATTCAACAAGATAATGAAAGTTACTATTACTTGAGTGTGCAAAAATATTCAGGTTACTTCCTCTTTTCGTCTTTCGATGATTAGACATTTTTATGATGTCTCAAAGTACCGAATATTTAGAATCTTTTAGTTTTTATATTTTTAGTAAAAAGCAATCTTAAAGATTAAAAATTTGGAGCAAAACTCTAGAATTTTTGTTTTCTTGTTCATATTTGAAGGAATATTTTTTTTCTCAAACAATATTCACCAAATAACCCTTCCAAAGCCGTTTAAAATTAAAATCATGAATGAAGAATGAGCAATGCATCACAAAAATGAACAAGTGTGTGTACCAAAAAGTGTTGTAACTTGTGATACTCCCAACGGACTTTGGTAGCGCACACGATTGGCGACATGGCAAACTCAAAACCAAAGTTTTCGGTGCGGTTTAGAATTTTCAATCCAACTTGCACCTCTAATTTAAACAAACAAATGCAATCGTATATGGGATTATGTTGCAGTCCTATTAGATTATAAATGGGATTGTGTAAATTCTATTATATCTTGGATATCTTTTAGATTATATAATATCCTATTAGAGTTGTAGCCAAGACAGAGAGAAGGACCTTGGGAAGTGAGCCTTACCAGAATCTTGAAACGATCTGGTTGTAGCAATACCATGTCCCTGTGTAATAGGTTAGGCGGAAAGAGATCTTCTTCGGATCTCTTCCATCAAATTCATCCAATCAATTAATCCGGATCCTTGAATTTTGATCCAAGGGCTACAAACATGAGACTCCTTTAAAAGTTATAATAATTTTAGCTGTTGGATCAAATTTCAAGTGCCCGGATTAATTGATTGGATGGATTTGGTGGAAGAGAACTAGAGAGGATCTCTTTCCAGGTTAGGCAAACAGGGTATTGCTGCACTTTTGAGATGCAACAATACCATGTCTGAGAAATGATAAGGATACTTTTTTAAAATAAGACTCTCTGTAGACTCTTAAGTTAATGTTTAATTTAATTTTCGTGCTAATATTATAAAATATTGTAAAAATATAAGATGAGTTGTTAACTTGATTTTCATGCCAATATTATAAAACATCGTAAAAATATAAAGTGAATCGTTAACTTAATTTTCATGCCAATATTATGAAACATCGTAAAAATACGAGGTGTTGATGCACAAAATCAGTGAGGATTTTGTTACAATAGAAAGTGTCAAGTTTGTGACCTTCGCTAGATTGCTCCGGTCACTAGTGTGGATAAGTATGTAAATGGATAGAGACAGAGAAGCAAGCAACACAATATGTACATGGTTCACCCAGATTGGCTACGTCCACAGAGTAAGGGAGTTCTAATTAATTGTGAAAGGTTTACAAAAGTACATAGGTTCAAGCTCTCCTTTAGTGAGTACTAGTGAATGATTTAGTACAAATGATATTAGAGATTATTGTGGGAGAATGATCTCCTTTTATAGAAGAGAGTTTCTAGCTTTGTTCTGGCCTTGACATGTGTCATGCTGTGATTCGTCTTTGATGTTGACACATGTCGCCCTATGATTGGCCTCTTGGTGTTGACACTTGTTGCGCTGTGATTGGCCTCCTGGTTGGAGGAAAACTCTTATAGGTCCTTGACGGTATAACGTTGACCGATGTTTGTTAGTTTCGGGATTTGTCAAGTATGGTACGAACACGAGGTGAGCCTTGTTATCATATCTCTCAACAAAATAGTCTTACTCATTGCAAAAAATTAACAAAGGATGACAAAGATTGTAGATTGATGCTGCTTTATTGTGACCGTTCGTATACCCCAAACTCTATGTATAACTCGTACGACTGCTCCTCCCGTAAAACCCCACCGGTTCCTTCATTGGTTCCAATGTTATTTGATGTATAAAAATTTAAAAATTAAGATACTTGGAAAGTAATATATTAAGAATTATCTTAAAATACTGTACAAAATTACAGATGGTTTATGACTTGCATTGCATTTCTACTTCGTTGACGAACAATTTAAATAAATTTCTTTGCCAAACTCAGTTTTAAGCCTAGCTATCTCTGGCGGTTTCTGACCATTATAGACTCCCCAAAAATAATTTAAATAATTGATGGAACAAACTATATTCTTTTACCCATAGAAATTGACCTAGCTTCAAACCCCTTCTCCAGTAAACCCTCTCTGACACACTGAAACCAAAGGGTAATTCTGTCTTTTGAACAATATTTTGGATTTCGAATAAGAAGTTTAGTCTATTTAGATGTGGGCACCATCATTATTGCAGGTTAATTCTAAGGAAAACTAATAAAAATGATTTGAAAATTTTGAGTTTTAACAATAAGGACAAAATAAATGGTAAAGTTAATAGTAACAAGATTGACTTTTTAATGTAAAAATATGATTTTTCGTTAAAGTGAACGGTACCA